GTTGTCGGATTTCAGGATGCTAAAAAAAAGGTAAAAATACGGGACATGGAGGACGAACATGATCTACCTCGAGCGAGCCATCACTTGCTTCAAAGAACAAATCATCTCTGTGCGTCGATGCAGATTCGCTGTCGACTCCATCATGATCATCTACATTGTATTCTGTGTCAACAGGTCCAAATAGACCACCCGGCAAAGGCAACGCAAGTGGTGCAGTGTCGATGTGCATCTGGGGAGGTTTCTGGTCGCCGCCTTCATCAAAGTTTGGGATCGCAACATCTATAATGCGCATTAAAGACTTGTACTTGGCGTCGGAGATGTTCACTTGAAGACTGGGCAATTTTCCGGAAATTTTGAATCGAGCGAGATTAACAGCGGACGGTACAATGGAGTTCTGCACCAGCAAATTGATGTTTATGCGTTCCAGTAGATGGAGAGTGTCGCTCTTCTCAGAAGTGAGAGCATCACGACAAGCTTGCAGGTCGTTGCCTAAGACAAACTGCACGATAACATTAGACTTGTTTATGCTATCCTGGCGTGGGCTAACCTGAGCTGCCTGGAGTTTGAGCAACATCTTATCATACATTAGGGACTCTAATCTCTTGTAGTCGTCCTCGCTGTACGGCTGGTTCCGTTTTGCATGTATCTCTCGCAGAGCACCTTTATCGGCCAAATCGCTCTCGACAGCTATGTGGCCAGCATCGATCACGAGATGACTACATTGGTGCGTGGTGACGCTAAAGTAACAAGTCAGTTTGGTAACTTCGATACTACAGGTTCGGAGAACGCACTCTTCTGGAATGATGATAATGGGTGAGTTCATATCCAGTTGAAGATCAATGGTTTTATGAGTTTGCAAGGCATACTCTAAACCAGCCCGAGTTTCCTTTCGTAAGCCCTCTAGTGTCTGGCTTGCTACGTTCTTGGAGTGAAAGTATGATATCTTTTGTCTGAGTGATCCCAAAGAGCACTTACTAATAAAGCTTCGACTGATTCCAACTGGCTCTCGGGTGGGCGAAAGAACTTGAAAATGGCTTCGACATACCCCCTGTGATAAATTATTTCCATGTGACGCATGCGGGCTGTGAGCGCAGTGTCGGCACGTTCATCGAGAGGATTGCTCTCAAATTTCACGAAGAAAAACGGATCTTCAGCTTCCCCGTGCTCAATAGCCTTGGCACCTTCTGCTACCGGGGTCTTGACTCGAACTATCTGTCGATACAGTGTATTCTTGGTCGTCCCATCAAAAACACTAAATCCTCTCAAGGATACAGATGCCTCAAAATTGTCCGGTCTTTGGATGACTTCGGCACGAAACGAGTCGAAAACCGTGGAGATAACCTCGGTAGCTTTCCCGCTCGGATCAACCTTCAGTGCAAATGACCCCTTCTTGAGTTCCGCAACCACTCGAGCCTTGAGGGCATCTCGGGGTGCCTCGAACGAATCGACAATGGCCGATTTCTCATCGTAATCAAGCACGTCATAGAGCTGCCTGCGTTGCTCCTCTGTCATTTCACCTCCAAAAGCGGGGTCGTCTTTCGGCTGATCTGCCTGGGACCCCCAGAGCCAGGATCGCCAACCACCAGACTGTTGTTGCTGTTGTGTAGCACGGTCTTCCTCAAGCCTTTTCCTTTGCTCCATGTCCTTTCGTAGATGGGAACGGGCAATCGACCTGTAGAAGCGGATGTCCTCATATGACAACTTACATTCTAATGCATTGAGCAACGCAGTGTCCTGAAAAGCATAATCGTACGTTTCATAACGTGGAACAAAAGAAAACGTACGGATTCGCGTAATGAATTGACCGTCTTCTTCTCGAATAACTCGACATATTTGTTACGGTCGTCTCGACGTTCCGCAAAGTATGCCCAAGTCCATTTACGACGTCGGTCGTGCACACCATCTAAAATCGCCCGGGAAGCAAAGCGTAGCAATGCCCTTGCTCGGTTTGCTTTGAACTCCTCGTCGCTTGGGCGAAGTTTCCTGTACTGGGTGGAGAATATACGATTAATATCAGCATCGCCTAGTCCAAAATGTTTTTACCTGATGCTGACGGAGGTAGACGTGATACATGTCAGCCAAAGATATGGCATCTCGATATTGGTTGTCATCAAAGGCGATACCGATCTCATCAAACAGCAACTGTACGTCGAAGTGTGGTGTGTTCTTATCAAGCTTGTGGTTCATAACAATCTGATGGACGGTCATATATTGAACGCGCCTAGTAGCTGTTGGCAACTTACTCTTCCCTCACCCGATACCGGGCTGAGAATGAATTGATGGGAGGACTGGTGATCCTTTTGTGATATCTAGCTAGGAGGTCAAATCTGATGGTGTGAAATAGAATCAAACTAACCATGGCAATAAACTTCTCTTTGGCTGCAGACAGGGGCAGCCCTGCCATACTTTGCGAGTCTGTATCAAAATACACCGCTAGTGATTCCAGTCTAGCCAACTAAAAGAATCCAAGCTCAGTGGTGCCACCCATCACTTCGTCTAGCTGCCTACCTTGTGTATTGCACCGGCAGTGCTTTCTATGAAAGCCGGTTGCCATTCCTCGTTGACCGACACCGCTGTGAAACCTGCCAACGTGATGCCCGCGGCGAAAGGATGCTAATAGTGTATGTCATATAATGAATTCCGAGGTGCGTGTGTCCTACGTACGCCAGGAACGCTCATATTGTCTTCATACCGTATGTGAATGTTCTTTACGGTCACCTGCAAGTTGTTGATTATCTTAGCCGTTAATGAAGCCCAGAGACCCTGTGACTGCGGGGATTCCTCTGGAACAGCGATTATCATCTGACGGTCACACCATACCAATGTAGCAATAGCAAACCTAAGGAAACTCCCACTTGACCACGCATATGCAAAAGTTCTGCATTTTCCAACCGCTCAAGTTTGGCGGCCTGTGCTCGCTGTGCTTCCTCCTCCGGATCTATGTTTGTTTGCGGAGAGGGCACAACAAGCAGATACACATCTTCAATCAGTATCTCGACAGGCTGGTTGCCGAGGTTCATCCAATGGAGAGACAGTGTGAATGTCCCGAGGTGGCCTGAAGAGGGGCCTGGGTGAGTTCACGTAATGTCATTGACGCGTGATAGTACCTTCGAGAACATCGACTGGGAGTCTGAATTTATCCAAGGCGCCCTTCTTGAGGCGTAAGTTGCGTAGCGTTAATTGACCTGGAGTTGAATCAAAATCGCCATATGGACGAGCGGCGAGTCAACGCTACCTTGCCCAATGCCGTAGTTCACTTGATTCATATCAAGGTTCTCGACATACGGGGCGAGTATCCTATTGAACAACTAGACGAGACGCGATTATATTCAAGGATATGTGGAGCTGGAATTTCTTGATGACGCACCACATTCAAGACTTCTTTTCCGGGGTCCAGCCACCACATTGTGGGGATGGTTGATGGTATCGACTTATACTGATATCAGATTAAAATACACCTGAATTTTTCTGTAGTTGGACCTGAGTTACTAGTGAGAGATGAAGGTCGTTTTGTGCCAGACTTCACCGCGCGGAACGAAGAGGGTAGGGGGCACACTTACTAAATTTGGAAAATATTACATCAACTCATTAAACACGGCCGGAGAATGGAAGTAAATATCGGAGTTAAACCGGGTTAGGCCGGTCATAGGATGTGTATGTATATATACCTCCTGAAATGTGTACGATAGTGCACCTCGAGGCTGAGGTTGTTCCTTTCGAAGATAATTCATCGGATCATTCCAGCTATCTTCTCACATTTAAATGATGGTGCATTTATGCCGTTGGTTCCGTTCAATCCCGCTAGTCCGGGTCTATCCGCGTGACCTCTGAATGCTACTTAGTATATTTGAGGGTCGTGTGAGCACTTGTTCCTCTTCTCCCTTTCAACACCCAACCCTCTCTCTGCAAGCATATAAAAGTGTATCATGGTGTCTGTCGTTCCCAGATCCTTCTCTATGCCTTCTCCGACTGCCAAGCAGGAGCTGCAGCTGAATGAGGTCAGTCATCGTTAGATTCAAGGTCCTTCCGCGGTACTTATTCGGCGTCCTTTGTGTTAAGTTGGGCAGCCTTACCGATGCTGTGGAGCCATTCGCAAGGTATTATTCGTTGATTTTATCTTATTTTGGCCGCTCATGCAAAGAATCAATGTGATCTTACTCAGGCTCCTAAGCCAAACTGGTCGTTCCGTGAGGCTGCATTGTTCTGTGCCCATGTGGTCATCTCCTTCTGATACATGTATGTGGTTCGCATTTATGAATTCAAAGTTGTTTGACCGACTCGAAAAATAGGCCTTGATTTACACGACCTTCACGATTTACGCTCACGAATTCTTCTTTTCGTTCATGATCTCTTAGAGTCTTTGCATTCAGCGGGGGTTGGTCACCGCGTTTGACCTATATCACATTTCTAACAGATGTACCAGATTTCCGCATCCTATCGACTTGCTCCCTCAAACTCTTCTCTCTGTTTCATCTGTGCATTGCCGACTGAGCTCAGTGCCCCAAAGGTGAGGTCAGCTGCAGTCGAAATTCTGCAGAATGCGAATATACATGCAAGGTAAGGCAAATTTGAATATTTAAAGCCGTATCTCACCACAATGCAGGGAGAAGGTTTTATTGGCTGACCTGGAGTGCGGCCCCGCATTGATCATTTCCTAATCCCTGTAACTTTTATGAGAACATCAAAACATCGTATAATATACATCTACACCCTTTGCATTGTTATCTGTACCATTAAATAAAGCAATCTCATATTTTGCAACAATCTTGAATGTTGGGTTCTACCTTCCAAGGATGGAAAGCTTAGTTCAAACTAGCTGGTCTGGCTGAACGTTCCTGGTTTGTCTCTAGGCCAGGTTCCTCCATTGGAGGAGTCTGCCATGGCAATCTGAGAAGAAATGTGACAGATGTCACAACCTCGGGATTGTTGTATGTAAACCCACTCACTTACCTTTCACGCAATTTTTCAACTTTAGTTCTTGACTTGTTTCCACGTCTGCCATGACTTTTCTCGCTGACTTCCTCCTCACCGTCGTCCCAAAGGACTCTATACCTATATATCTTAAAACCTACATCCCAGGCGAGACGCCCTTGTCGACATGGCCCGTCGTCACCACAGCCCTTGCGTCGTACCTCGCTGTAATATTTGGTATTCGTGAAATCATGAAGGATAGATCTCCACAGCGGCTCAACACCCTCTTTCGCATACACAACGCTTTCCTCAGTATTGGAAGTCTCATTCTTCTTGTCCTTATGATGGAAGAAGTTGGTTCGATATGGCTCACAAATACGACCTACGGCACAATGTGTGATGAGACCTCATGGACGGAGGTAGGTTTTGATACGTTTATCGAATATCTATCTTTTGAGACTCATCCATCATCCCAGAGGCTGGAATTTTATTACATGATCAACTATTACTTCAAGTATATCGAACTTTTTGACACGGTGTTCCTCGCTCTCAAAAAGAAACCTCTTGGTATGCGTTGCCATATTCGTTCGTGGCATTCACGCGCTGACCGGTCATTTTTTAGCTTTCCTTCATGTATTTCATCATTCCGCAACTGCTCTGTTATGCTTTGTGCAACTTAACGGCAAAACAAGTGTGGTATGTCCACGTTGACATCTGCCAGCTGTTGCTTGACCTCTTCAATTTTAGTCATGGGTTGTGATCTCTCTGAACCTAGCAGTTCACGTCATCATGTGTAAGATCTCTGTTCGCTGTAATGTGTGTGTGCTCATTGGACTACGAAGATTATTACTACTTTGCGACTGCTGGTGGTGCCAAAATATGGGTATGTATGCGCTGTACAATGTTTACGCATGTTTCACTGAGACATTCCTCAATTAGTGGAAGAAATACCTCACGTCCATGCAGATCATTCAGTTCATCATCGACATTGTCATTGTTTACTTCGGCAGTAAGTCTATCGATCTACAGCTCAATATCAATGCTAAATCCGGCCTAAGCCTACCAACATTACGCAGCTACTCACTACCATCACCTCCCTCACTGGTCGAATTGTGCCGGCACTGAAACTGCTGCTCTCTTCGGATGTGGTCTTCTCACCACCTACCTTGGCTTGTTCATCAACTTTTACATCCAAACGTACAAGAAATCCGCCAAGGGAAAGAAGCCTACAGCCAACGGTATTGCCAACGGTCATGCGCAAAATGGAAACGGGTGCGCAAATCCTTCCTCTTACCGTACTGCACGTTGATGTCCAAGTTTTTGATAGCTATAAAAAGGACTGAGCACGCAATTCACAGCTTCATGACGATATGGCCATGCCAGTGGCCAAGCGATTACCTATACTTATCTAGCATCATGCAAGACACTAATATACAGAATGCATCAACGAGTTCACCTCCAGTTCACCTGTCCAATCTTTTCATACAGCCTGTCGTTCTTGTGTCTATTTAGCTACTCCCCGTCACCTTATTTTTTCATGGTCGAGTATTTCTTTTGCATATCTCTTTCCTTTCGGATCTTGCTTTCGTTGCGGGCATGCATGTTAGTATACGGGTGTGCTTGGAGCTATGTTGGAACGCAAAAGACATTTCACGAACAAGAGTACCGTAGTAATACCCAAACGAAATGCCACTACTCCATGATATCATCTTAGAGTGATTTGTTTTGCCTCGCGTTTTTAACGTCCCTCCATTTGCACATCTTGCTGTGCCGTAAGGGTTGGCTGCGGTCATTCCTTGATCATCGATGCATCATCCGACGCTTAGTCTCACTCTGTCACTACATATATCATTGATCGGCTTTTTCTTGCTTCCAAGCTTGCTTGTGCCAAAGACTACAGTCAATTATCAGCTATCTAGGTTGACTTGTATTTTGCAGCTCCGAAAAAATTGCCTCAGGTTACTTCCTATGAATTCCTGAGAACTGTGACTACCAGCTCTGATACACACGAATATCTTTATTTCTTCCCATCATCACTATCTCTGCATTAACTTATACACCACGAGGAGTGTACACACATTGCGGTGCGGGGAGACATTCATCCCGTAAAGCGCAGTGAGTCAGTTTGCAACGGTTGTCTTGAATGATTTCAAGGCCGACGACAGGGACTGCCTTACCAACGAAACTCAGCCAATCGTGCTGTGCGGCTTAGAAGTCTGTCTAATGTCTGAAATATCAGACTCAACGCAGTCCACTGGGACCTCCGGTTGCCCTCGAGAGTTTTTGGTGTCTGTAGAATTGTATGTCCCCACCGTGGCAAGTTTTGGGCTTCGGAAGGTGAGTCTCATGCACATGTCTTACTCGGTACATCTAACTGCTCGCAGCCAGTGGTCTCTCGCCGTAAAGCTGACACTAGCAAGACGGAGGAAACCCCTAGGTCGCTCAAAGGTGAGAATACTTTTATTCTGCCACATAACTATTTATGCGTTTTCAGAAAAGTCTAGCTGGATATCGGTCAGTCGGAGTCCCGCAAGCGCCGGACAGTGGCGACCTGCAACATGTAAGCTGATGGACGAGGACGAGAGTTGTTCCCTTAACATCTATGTCGACGTGGGTCTCAGGAGACAAAAGTCTTACCATCTTCTGAATGCCTCCACAGGAGACTATTCTGTACCAGACCATATACATACATATGCTCAACCAGTTCGACATCCGGCATGCTGACTCTTCCTTATTTCTTCGCAAGAATTGTCTTGCGCTTGCATCTGCTGGGCAAGTCATTTCTTATCCTGTTTGCAGCACTGCTAATGAGACTGCTCAAAGAGGGCAGCGGTGGGGCTCACCAACTAACACAGAGCCCATCTATTTCCAATTTGAAGACGCTGATACGTGCAATACTTGGCTGGTCCTGTTACGATCATATTCTAAACCGGAGATATATGGCCAAACCTTCGCTTCACGGGATGGCGGGCTCTACCGCATGTGGCGCCAGGTAGAGCTGTCAATTTTGCAAGGACGTAACCTAGGGAATCACTTCAAGGCCCAATTAGACACGAATGCTAGCTCTGCTATACTGAGCGAAGGCGACCTGCGAGAGGCAGACCCCATAGATTTGGATGCCTTTTGCGAAATCCATCTCAACGACAACATATGTGCTCGTACGACAGTCAAGAAGGGGATTGGCTCTCCCGACTGGCTTGAAAATTTCTCATTTCCGGACTTGCCACCTTTTGAGACCCTCGAGGTCACAGTTTGGAGAGAGAAGAGGCTTGTGAAACCCGTGTTACTTGGCTCGGTCCGCATTGCACTGACGAACTTTCGCCGAAGTGAAGCGGTAGAAGGATGGTTTCCGGTCATACAAGCTGGCGGAGCGAGCAATAGTATTCAAGTTGGGGAAATACGAATGAAACTTACCGTTGACGAGTGAGTGTTCGTATATTCGCAGACTCGCGCAGACTTGAAATTTGTTCAAGGGAAATAATATTACCTCATAATAGTTACTCGGGTCTTCTGACCGTAAGTCGTCTCAGACACCGCTGTTGACAAGTAGTTGTATTTGGTTGCCAGGTACTGCGCGATAGGAATGTCCTAGAGTGGATGAGTGACTTCGAGCGCAGGCTCCACTTGCGGACTACTTCTTATCAGTTGATGTGCATCGCGATTGCCAAGAACATCCTTGTTGAGCATATCACGGAATATGCCGATCGTGAAGTCGATGGTACACCTAGCTGTCAGTGATCCATCATCATGTGCCATGAGTTACCTTACTGACTACTTTTGCAGCTCACAATACCATTTTCCGCGGGAACACCACTTTCACAAAGACGATGGAGCTGGCAATGGCGTTTTATGGGAAAGCATTTCTTGAGTCCAGCATCGGATGCACCATTCGGCGCATTTGCTCTGAAAAAGTTGCTATCGAGGTTGATCCTGTGAGGAGCGGCAAAGGTGCAAAAGAGGTCGAACGTGGCGTGGATCAACTAATACATTGGAGCCAAGAGGTGTGGAACCAGATATATGCTGTAAGGGGCCAGTGTCCGAAGTGAGTACTACGTTATTCTGGTTTGACTCAGACTGAGTCAAATTTAGCGAGTTGCGACGTTTGTTCGAACACGTGAGAAAGCTCGTTGAGAAACATTATCACACGAAAGATTCGCAAGACCCCCATAACCGGGAACTCCCCTGGCAAAGCGTTTCCGCCTTCTGCTTCTTAAGATTTATTGTCCCTGGCATCTTGAACCCTCATCTGTTTGGGTTATACCCAGGTATTGAATATTCCCATCGTGTCTCCCTTAAACCTGATCGACCCCAGGTCTTCCCAGTGCTCGCATTCAACGCAGTCTCACACTCATCGCAAAGGTCATTCAAAGTCTTGCGAATCTTAATCCCGTGAGATGCATCCCTTTCTTGTTCTCACTGTTACTCATCGCCCCTCGAGCAGAATGTACAGAAGGAGGAGTTCATGCGCGGGATAAAGGACTTCCTCAAGCAGAATCTACCTGCAATGGTAGATTACATCCTGGTCGTTTCGACTCCTATTCCGCTAGATCCATGTAGTCCACACTCTGGTCACCCAACTCACAGCCACCAACGGCTTAATGTGGTCAGTTCATTGCACGAGAGAAGTACTACGATGCCCGTCCTAGAAAGAGAGTCGATTTCGTTGCTACCTCATGTGCTTGATATTCCAAGGCATTTAGCTCGTATCACTTCCTCGGTTCTCCGAAGTGCACGGTCCGCTGATCCAAAGGACAAATCCTCCGAAGGAGACAATCAACATCTGTCAGGTCTTTGTGCTCAATGCTTCGACCTGGAGGACCAGAGTCTGGCTCGCGTCAGCCAGTTAGCCGGTGTGGAATCATGTCCTGTTGCTCTTAAATGGGACGCACCTCGAATAACATCCACAGTCTCTTCCGCCGCTCCTTCATCCCCGGCCTCGCCCTCGAAAATGGTTGAGTCGCGGAAGGTGTCAAGGCCGTATACCGCACCATCACTGTCTGATTTGTCTGAAGTAGATCACCTAAAAGCATCGTCCGGCAACATGACACCTTCAAGTCCCGTCCCCCATGATCTGTCCAGTCTACGTAGAGGTTCTGTTCCTGATATTCCTTCAAGCCCAAAGGTCACCTCATCTCCTGAAGAGCGATCTACACGGGCAATAAACCGTCCGCGTTTTCTGCGACCTAAATCAATATCAGCTGACTCGATCTCGTCACTCGCATCCCCTACAAGTGCACAATCTCTACGTAGTCCACCTGAGTTTCAAGATCTTGAAGCTAGCAGGAAGAGAAAGAACGTGCTGCAGGGTCTACTTACGAAACGATAAGTGGCCATCATATTTATTGTCTTTTTTGTTTCCTCCTATTATATTACGTTTTGCGTACTGTATGATGAATCAGATGTACAATCCTTGAATCCTCGAGGGAAATCGAGCCACACAAATGTCCGCCGATGCATGTGTAATTAAGAATCCAATCTTAGCAGTTTTTCAATCAGCCTAAGTACTTCCGCAGCTACATCCTCAGAAGTACTGCGGACTGTTAGTCGGCACAACTAGTTCACGTCAGCCTACGAGATCATAGGAGACGGTAAAGACTCACTTTTGCCTCGCGATTTGGTTCTAAGCGAAGCAGGCAACCAACCTTGCCATCAACCGATGTATGCAAAACTCCAGCTGCCACTAGATTGTTTGGGTTGGGATCAACATCTCCCAATATCTCCAGATGGTTTCCTGAGACCACTTGACGGTATCGTACAAGATCAAGCTGACCAGCACCATCAAGTGTAATAGGAAAAACAGCCTGTGCCTCGCGTGGAGGACCACCGATGACCTTCCAGCGCTCGAAGAAGTCAGCTTGCCCCAGCTTGACACCCTCAATGAACTTCGTAACGCTGATCGGCAGTCGAATTGATACGGACTGATGCGCGCCAGCTAAAAAGGACACTGTGAGGATGGGGAAGGAGCTGAACGCCTTTTTACATTCAACATGTAGAAGTTGTTGGCTTTGTGTACGAGGAACGAGAATATTTGGTGGGATTTTAGCAAACGTAGCCGACAAAGCCTCCGAGTCATTGACATGGATGGTGGAGGTGAATGATGTCAATGGTACTGATATTTTATTTCCCAAATAGATGGCTAGCTGGCCTAGGTGCCCCTGGTACCTTGATTTGATACCGATTTGGATCTGCACGTCCTCGTAGAGGACGCCATCCGCGCTGTAGATGAGCTTGTTAAACCACTTTTCAACGCTGGGTCCGACAGCGACTCGAGGGGCGACCACGGAGCTATCCACGCGGGACGGGTCTGACTGTTCACCTGGGCTAGATAAATTCAATCCTGCCAAAGAGCTCATGACGTCTTGTGCATCTGTATTGCCAGTGACAGTAGTTGTCCCAGTGGCAGATGATCCTGGTCCTAACGTCGCTTTCCGTGAATTTGCGTGTCGCTCGAGGTTCATTTCCTTTCCTCCGTGTATCCAGGTCCTCTTGTCCTCTGTATCTCCAAGTTTACGGTTGAGTCTACCGATCAGAGCACTAACGCGAGGAGGGAATGGTGGCATCTCCTCGCAAACGTTCTGCAACACTTCATCGTCATCAGGTCTAGATGCTAGCGAGTAGAATTCACAGGCCCGCTGCTGGAGCTCTGCGTCCAGAACATGTCTATATCGTTCAAAGATGTTGATGAGCTGAGGCTTTATCTCGGGAAAGACATTAACCCATTTGATGTACGTCGATAGGAGAAGGGAGCGAGTGGAA